TATATATATATATATATATGTCGAGCATGAAGGGAAAAGAAAAGGATCGAGGAGGAGGAGGGGGAGGGGAGGGGAGGGGGGAGAAGAAAGGAGGGAGGGAGGGAGGGAGGAATAAGAGCGGTGAAGAGAAGAGCGATGGCGAGCAGGTGACGAGGAGGAGGGGGAGGGGGAGGGAGGAGGGGGGAGCGAGAGAAGAAAAGAGTAGAAGAGTAGAAGAAGGAAAGGAAAGGAAAGGAGAGAGGAGAGGAGAGGAGAGGAGAGGAGAGGAGAGGAGAGGAAAGGAGAAGAGAGGAGAGGAGAGGAGAGGAGAGAAAAGAAAAGAAAAGAAAAGAAAAGAAAAGAAAAGAAAAGAAAAGAAAAGAAAAGAAAAAATGGGGGAAGAAAAAAGTCGGTCAGAGCCGCAGCCGAATTCACCGGCGCTCGCTACTTCGTGAATCGTGCGAGCCACGGGAAGATTGAGTGTATACTAACATACACCTTCTTGTCCTTGCCCGTCTTATATAGTGACTCATCGGAAAGCCGGCCCCCCAGCGGCTCTAAATGGCCCCCCGGATGCCTCCCAATTGCCCCCCGGCAGTCCATGAATATGGTAGGGCAACGGTACAAAGAGGAGCAGAGACGGACGTAAAGGAGCGGAAGGAGTCAGGTAAGAAAACGGTGGTCCGTTGAACGAGTTACGGTGACACGAAACACCGCGGTGGGGAGGGGGGGGAGTGAGGGGGGAGGAAGGGAGGGAGGGAGAGAGGGAGGGAAGGGAGGGGGGAGGAGGCAGTACCCCAACTCCAACCGCTCTTTTGCCTTCAGGGTAGTGGACCTAACTTCCGTCAAGGGTGCAAGGGCGTACTTCTTGTTCCACGGTCTCGTTGGCCGGTGACCACGAGGTCTCTTCCACCGCCGCCACGTGGTGGTGGCGGCGGCGGCGGCGGTGGTGACCGGTGGTGGGGAGGGGGGAGAGGGGGGAGGAGGGGGCGGGGGGCATTCGGGCCCCCTGCAGGGATTCGAAACCGTCACCCTGTGGTGGGGGATCTACTATCACCAAACCGAACGGTGCCTCTCCGTTTTACTCGCTCGCCAAGGATCCGCTTTGGGTCAGTTATTCTTTCGGTCTTTGCTTTGTCGCCTCTCCTTTTCTCTTCTTCTCTCCACTTTTCGCCTGCCTACGTAGTACGTACTACCTACTTTTTCGATTATTCGAGGAATAAAAAAAGAAAAAAGATCGAGAAAATTCTCGTGAATATGTATATATATATATTTAGAAGGAAAGGGGATGAATTAAAAAAATCATCGTTACGTAACAAAGGGAAATTAAACTTTGCACTTTCGAACGGCGAAGACAATTTCTCTTTTTCTTTCCTTTTTTTTTTTTTTTTTTTTAATTTATCTATTTTCGCCTTTTTTCCTTCCTTTGCTCTTTTGATCCCCGATTCTCTTTTACTATCGTATACCTCTCCGTTGTTTCCTCTCCTTAGGATAAATTGCGGATAAATGCGGAGCAATTTTTCGATCGCGATGCTCGATTATTTTTCCCCGTTCGAAGGATAGAGCGCAATTTTCCTTTCGAGCAAAGGCGCAAGGACGTAAACGTGACAAATATGAAAGCACGTTACGAGAAACGAATGTAAAACGAGCTACGGGACGGATAACGAGTTTTCTTTTTTCTTTTTTTTTTTTTTTTTCCCTCCCCCTCTTTTTTAGACCAAAGATCGTTACTTTTAGCGTTTAAACGAATCTCATTTTTCACGGCAACTTATACCCGACACAGACCTGTGGCCACCGTTGAACAGTCGCGGTTCTTCGGCGGTTGGGTCATTGACCCAGTTCGTATTCTTTCTCGATAGCCATGTCCGGTTTTCACCAGGGACGATACCAGAAATATCCCTTTTGCCAGCGTGAAGATGTGCGCATTCTCACGAGTAATATTCATCGAGGAACAGGGAAGAACGCGTTCTTCTTCTTTTTCTTCTTCCTCTTCTTCTTCTTCCTCTTCTTCTTCTTCTTCTTCCTCTTCTTCTTCTTCTTCTTCTTCTTCCTCTTCCTCTTCTTCCTCTTCTTCTTCTTCTTCTTCTTCCTCTTCTTCTTCTTCTTCTTCTTCTTCTTCTTCTTCTTCTTCACGATAACGTAAACACGCACCTTACTACTGTCGTCCCATTCCGACGTCATCCCGAACAAGAACGATAAGAATTTTACACTCCTATCAACCGGTTCATTACGCTTTGCCCCAAAAATAATCGATTTATCGCTGTTAATCGTAAAGTTCAAGGTTTCGAGGTTGGAAACAGAAACGATAGCTTATTTTTTCCGATACTTCTTCTTCTCTCTCTCTCTCTCTCTCTCTCTCTCTCTCTCTCTCTCTCGCTCCGCACATTCCCACAATACCCTCGATGCGAATCTATAATCGATAATCCACATCGCACACAGCCACATACCTATCTAGTATACCTAGCTAGGCATGCTAACACGTAGATACACTAACACGATTATCAACAAGTTTTATGGCAGCTGGAACGGAGCATAAATCGTACGAATCGATTTTCACCGGCAACTCGACCGCGAAACGATTAAACGAAGATTCGATTACGATTACGGTTTCCCGTTAAATTCTACAAAATTCGAAAATGGTCGAAACGTGTGTATATATATATATATATACGCATACATAAATTCGCGCTTACGAGCGATTCGTTTATCGCCTCGCGCGATCTTTCTTCTCGAAATAATTTCCACGAAATTTAATAACGACGAAAAAAAAAAAAAAAAAAAAAAAAA